AGAGGGCGGGGGGGGGGGGATATGTAAATAACACGAGCAACCACACTTAGAGATTAGTGAATTAGTTCGTGATTAGTTAGTAAATAAAAAACAAAAATGTCATCAATAAGACTACAGTGCACTGCAGCCTGCCTGCATTGCTAAAAAAACAACCAAAAAGAACCACGACGTATAATAACACAATGTTTTAAAGGCAACCACGGTACCGATAAACCCGTCAACGTATAAATTAAATATTAGACAATACAGCGTTTACCTTCTGTTTTCTTAAACAACTTTTGAGACCTGGGATGATGCTCTTGTCGCCACTCAAGAACGTCTGCCATGAAACATAGGCGCGCTGCCGCCATAGTGGCTCTACATTCACAGGCGAGACGCAGCAGGAGGAACTTCCTGCTCGCGCCAAAATGGCGCCAGTTTCCCTATTGACAATCATTCGTCTCTTAGAAGACACGTCACCCAGCGATGCGGGGAGAGTCTTATCTAGCCTATGTATATAACGTATCTCATAATCTTATAAAATGTACAATGATGCATAAAATGCTTTTAAATTATGTATTAATACAAAACAATGAAGCTGAACCTGGGTGGTATGTTAAATATTTTCTCATTTTTATGTCGAACGGTAATTTATAAACGGGCATCTTTTTGGATACCTAAATGGGTCTTAGGATTCTGCAGTCGTGTCCTTTTTGGACAAGCGTCATCTTTGGGGGTCCCTTCTCAAGTTCGGACCATTCCATTTAGACCTGGGCACCGTTCTTTGGCAGGACACGTCACCGTCGAGAGAGAACATCGGGGACTCAGCTCCTATCAACACAAATAAAACAAAATGGTGAGACAATACATCATGCGCTTGTAGTTGTTGCGCTGAAAGGAAGCGTCGCAATAAAAACAAATCCGCGTTTTGCTATCTGTTAGCACGCCTGCTAGACTTATCTTAACGTTTGTGTACGTGGCTTCCCCACCAACATATAACTAGTTAGTTAACACTAATTTCAAATCATGAATTACACTTGATAAATATGAGGTTGTTAATATATGCAACTAGATAGCGGGTTTAGCTCTACTCACTGTTCCAATGTCTGCAGCTTTTTTTAAACCACTTTTCCCCCCCTCCATTTCCAATGAGAGTAATGAAATGCATAGTAAATTGTGAAACTTTCTCTCCCTTAGCCTGGACCAGCAGTAAGTGCAACCAGTGTGGGGGCATCCAGCCGTTCCCCCAGTAAGACTGTGGCCCCCCGTACAGCAGGCTCCACAGTCAGACAGAGGTACACTCGCGAGCTCACAATCATGGCCTAAAGTGCCACTTTAGTACCCACACGAATCATAACATGAGTGGATGTTGAAGCAGGGATCCAAACGTGGATGATCGTGAAAATGAAACTAAATTTTTAATCTCTTGGAAAAGAAACCTCATTGATTGACACTTAAAAGTGTTATTTAAGTTATCTTCTGCACAAACACCAATTTTCAAAGACTCATAATTGACCCCTCAACTCCTGAGCTGGTGAAATATACGACGGCATCATGCCCTTTACTGACCTCAGTATAGCTTTATCTATTTACCAAGACATTAAAACACCAGACAGACGTTTTCACTTCTGGCGTGAACAGAGTTTAGTGTTAATTCATTTAGCAGTCTTGACTATCAGCATCTTCATCAATAGCTTTTTCATTTCGATCACATGTTGCACTGAGGACTTAAACTCATTATCATACTAACAGGCATTGCTTTGTTCCTCTATTTAATCAGGCTGTTTAATTACAAAAGTTGTTTTGAGGACACTAGAAAAAGGAAACGGGAGTCAATAGGATTACATGATGAAAGTTGTGATATGTTCTTATAAATAGGGAAAAAAGATAAGGAGGGGAAACTCATATTGAATTGAGTTTTTTTCTCTAAAGCAGAAAAAAATTATCAACGTTAAGACTTTTTTTCATACAATTGTATCCTTGCAAATTTATGACTTAATATAATGTAAAATTTGAAAATGTTTCATGGTAACTTTCCTGTCAACTGTATTCTGTAAAATGATCACATCTGTTAATTCTGACATGTTTTAGTCTTTTAGATTTTTAGTAGATCAAGACGTTTTTGGCATTATATTACAACTACAGTATATCGTGTAAATGTGACATTTGTAGTTGTTCGGTATTCCAACTTTATTTTCAAATATTTGACCATTACATGTTGCTTTTGCAATTTGTTTTTCAACATTTATCATCAAATTGTGTTCAGTATTGTTAAATCTTGTATTCTTTTCATATCATGACAAAGTTGGTCGTAATATTCCAACGTTATCCTCTGAAAATTAATCATTTGTTGTCACAATGTCACCCCACCACCCATCACCATCCCCCAACAATCAGCCAATATTTCACAAGTTCTGCCAGGATATGTAAATGAATGAGCACAACTGTACATGAGGTGGTGTTCACTTGTGTGTTCCACAGGAAAGCAACGAGCAGCGGTACCCGCAGTGGTGGCAGGACCACTGGATCGGCTGGTACCGGGGGAATGTGGCGCTTTTACACCGAGGACTCGCCGGGTCTCAAAGTGTAAGTATATTGTCAGAAAAGCTGTAACTATATGACCTCACCAGTATATAAAACATATTCATACCTAATGTTTGATGCATCATTTGGGTTGGAAATCAGGCAGAAAAGTCTGATAACTTTCTATTCTGAGCCAAGCTCACTTCCCATTATAAAAAAAAAAAAAAAAAAAAATGCACCCAATCTCCCCGTCCCAGCCGCGGGCGCGCG